TGTGTGAGCTGCAGTGTCCCTGGGCTGCTGGGCACGTCCCCACTGGACTCTCTCTGCTCATCTCTGCCTGCTCTCCCCAGGACAATTCTTAATCTTTCACTCAGAATTGGGACAGGCCTTTCACTCATCAGCATCAGTTCATTAAATTGAATCCTCAGGCTTGTTTTAAAAGCTAAAATATAAAGATTTCTAAGCTATGAAAAAAAGCAGTGATATCTGAGTGGCTTTTTCCTTTGCTTTTTCCTTCAGGAGACATCAATTACCAGGAGTTTGCCAAGCGGCTTTGGGGCGACATCTACTTCAACCCGAAGACGTAAGAACCCTGTTTAAATGTTTTAATTTTACTTTATTCCTGGGTTTTTCCCTTCTTTTCCTGTAAAATGTGGACCCAAGGTCACTCCTGATCCTGTGATCCTGTGGTGGAGTGTGACTGTTCACAGGGGTCCGAGGGTGAGGGAGGAGATGAGGATCTGACTCCATGTTTCAGAAGGCTGATTTATTATTTTATGATATATATTATATTAAAACTATACTAAAAGAATAGAAGAAAGGATTTAATCAGAAGGCTGGCTAAGAATAGGAAAAGAAGGAATGATAACAAAGGTTTGTGGCTGGGACTCTCTGTGATTGTCCATTAATTACAAACAACCACATGAGCCCAATCCCAGATGCACCTGTTGCATTCCACAGCAGCAGATAACCATTGTTTGCATTTTGTTCCTGAGGCCTCTCAGCTTCTCAGGAGAAAAATTCCTAAGGAAAGGATTTTTCATAAAATGTGTATGACAGTGGAGTAGTATCTGGGAAGGGTTGAGTCAGCCCTCCTGCCTAATGGGAATCCATTTGGATTCACACCACAAGCAGCAGCAGAGAGGCTCTTCTGGCCTGCATTTGGAGTTAACCTGGCCCATGTGTCCCTGACAGCTTCCCAGGGGATGGGAGGGAGGAGCAGAGGCTGTGCAGGGGTTCTGGCAGGCTGCAGTTCTTGCTCCTCACCTCTCTGGTCTCCAACAGGCGCAAATTCACCAAGAAGGCCCCGACGAGCAGCTCCCAGCGCAGCTTTGTGGAGTTCATTCTGGAGCCCCTGTACAAGATCCTGGCTCAGGTCTGTCATGGGTCATTCATCTTCCCACAGCTCCAGGCAGGAGCAGCTGGGGCTGGGCCCTGGGCTGGGCTGAACTCCCAGCTTCGTGGAGTTCATTCTGGAGCCCCTGTACAAGATCCTGGCTCAGGTCTGTCATGGGTCATTCATCTTCCCACAGCTCCAAGCAGGAGCAGCTGGGGCTGGGCACTGGGTCTGGTCCTGTCCTGTTCTGCAGTGGGATCTGCACAGGGGGTGCACAGTAATCATTATTTCTTGCAAGTGCAGTGCTGTATTTGCAGTTATAGAACAGTCCTTGCTTTTCCTTATGTGCTCTGATAGCAGCCAAGTGACAGTGCTTGGACTTGGAGCACAACTTGGATGAGGAGGAGTTGTGGGGGCTCAGCCTAGAGAAAAGGAGGCTCAGGGGGGAAATTTTTGCTTTCTACAGCTCCTGACAGGATGGGGCAGCTGGGGGAGGTCGGGCTCTGCTCCCAAGGAACAGGGACAGGAGGAAAGGAAATGGCCTCAGGTTGTGCAGGGGGAGGTTTAGGTTGGAGATTAGGAAAAATTTCTTCCCCCTAAGGGTTCTCTAGTCCTGGCACAGCTGCCCAGGGCAGTGATGGAGTCACCATGCCTGGATGGATTTAAAAGCAATGTAAATGCACTTGGGGACTAAGATGATTTAATGGTGGCCTTGACAGTGCTGGGGAAATGATCTTGGAGAGCTTTTCCAGCCTTAATTCCATGATTCATGGATTTCACCCATCTGGCTCTTGTGTGAGCCATAACCCAGTGCAGCTGCAGAGCCCTGCAGGTTGTGGCTGGTTTGTGATGCTGACTGGGACCCCCACAGTGAACCTGAGAGTGAGACTTGTGGTCCTGCAGGTGGTGGGGGATGTGGACACAACCCTGCCCAGGACTCTGGATGAGCTTGGCATCCACCTGACCAAGGAGGAACTGAAACTGAACATCCGGCCCCTCCTGCGCCTCGTCTGCAAGAAATTCTTTGGGGAGTTCACAGGTACAAACAAGCTCTTTGTCTTCCCCTCCACAATTTTCACCTCACACCAAGAGTTGAGGGTTATATTTTGGCCAAGGAGGGCTAACTTGCACAGATCCTGCTCAATTTCCCAAATCTAAGCTGTGACACCAGGACAGCCTGAGGCACTGCTCACCTCTCCCTGCTGCTGTGGGTGCTGCAGTCACCGTGGCTTTGCCTTGTGTTTATGGAGTCCAATTTTTTCCTCCACACTGCTTAACCTTGTCCTCACCAAGTGTTCCTGTTGCAGGTTTTGTGGACATGTGTGTGCAGCACATTCCCTCCCCAAAAGTGGGGGCCAAGACCAAAATCGAGCACACCTACACCGGCGGCGTCGACTCCGACCTGGGCGAGGCCATGAGCGAGTGTGACCCTGATGTAAGGAAGCTCCTGTGTTTGCTCTGAGTGTGCAGAACCAATTCCAGCAGGCTCTGCTCCCCCTGCCCTGCCAGGGCTGCTGCCTCCCTGCACAGATTTGACTTGCAGCACTCTGAAACCTCTCATCCGACACTGGAACAAATCTCTTCACTCCAAGGAGCTTCAGCTGCCTGCCAGGGCAGCCCTGGAGAGAGGGAATTGTTTCACTGTGTTCAGAGAAGAACAGGACTAGGTCAGGACTCCAGAGCATGTGGGAGCTGCAGGGTAGTTTTGTGTCCTTTTGCAGTCTTTTTGTTTCTTTTCCTTGAAGTTTAATTCTCTCTCTAAACTCTAAAAAACTGCATGGTGCTGATAAAAATAACCCTGTGTTAGTTAGTCAGCACCTTTCCTCTCCCAGCCCTGCAAACCCTTCCTCCTCCAACAGCTTGCACTGAGCTGTCATTTGGAGTTGTCTGGAGCCACCAACGCTGGCAGCTGAGTGAGAAATTTGCCTGTGACTTTTGCTCTGATGTCTGCAGAGAAATTTATTTTAATGAGTTGTGATTATCCACATAAAACTCCACAGTGGTGACTGTCACCACATCACCGGTGTGGAGTGACCTGGTGGCACTGGGAGCTGTGATCTTGGGGAGCTCAGGTGACATTTGCAGGCCAGCAGGTGACATTTTTCCTCATGGCTTTGTCCCAGCCACCATGTGCTGCTCTACAGGAGCTCCAGAACAGTTCACATGGTCATTCCAGAGCTTTCCATGCAGGACAAGGAGATGTAGGGCTGCTAGTGGCAGGAGCTGAAGGACTTGGCTAAATTCCAATTTTTTATCCACAAATCAGACTATTCTGAGTTGGAAGAGATTCACAAGGATCATCAAAGTCCAGTCCTGCTAGATCTGTGTGCATTTCTTGACTGTGTTTTGCAAGAAGCTCATTTCTGTCTCTGTGTGTCACGGGAAGGGTCCCTTGATGTGTCACACCACCAAGATGTACAGCACTGATGATGGTGTGCAGTTCCACGCCTTTGGCAGGGTGCTCAGTGGCACCATCCATGCTGGGCAGCCTGTGAAGGTCCTTGGGGAGAATTACACCCTGGAGGATGAGGAGGATTCCCAGATCTGCACCGTTGGACGCCTCTGGATCTCAGTTGCGAGGTACACAAAGCTCTGGCAATGTGTTTATTGGGAGAGGAGTCACCTGGTGAGGGGCTGGGAGGGAAAAAGAAGGTTCTGGAAGGTCTGAGGCTGCAGTGATGCTCTCCTGCCTTTCAGGTATCACATTGAGGTGAACAGAGTTCCTGCTGGCAACTGGGTGCTGATTGAGGGCGTGGACCAGCCCATAGTGAAGACAGCAACTGTGACAGAGCCTCGGGGCAATGAGGAGGTACCAGGCATGGCTGGCACTGCTCAGCCTTGCAGGGTGATGGGGCACAGCCCAAAAGCTTCTCTAGAAGGGTTAAAGAATCCCCGTGTGATGTGGTGGCAGGGCACAAGAGTGTGGTGGTGTTCACTGGGGTCCCAGGGTGAGGGAAGAGATGAGGATCTGACTCCCATGTTTCAGAAGGCTGATTTATTATTGTATGATATATATATATATATTATATTAAAACTATACTAAAATAATAAAGGATTTAATCAGAAGGCTTGAAAGAAATTATAATAAAATCTTGTGACTGACCAGAGATTCTGAGACAGCTGGGCTGTGATTGGCCATTAATTAGAAACAACCACATGAGACCAATCACAGATGCACCTGTTGCATTCCACAGCCGCAGGTAATTATTGTTTACATTTTGTTTCTGAGGCCTTCTTCAAAATGTTTGTGAGAGGATCATTTCAATGATGCTCATTTTCAATACATTTTGGAGCACCAGAGAAATTCAGTAAGACTGCTAGCAGTTTCTGCTAATGGCTGAGGATGGTAAGCAGTATGAGATCTGTAATTATAGAGCTCCATGCTATTGCTAATCTTAGGCAAAATAATAAAAAATAATTTTTCCAAAGGATAAATTCACTGGGAAATTATATGAACAAAACTCATGCCAGTCAACACCATTTTACAGAAATTTGCTAAATAAAATAGAGAATATTACTTAATCATCTGATAAAGTTATAAACTCTGGTCTGTGACCGTGTTCACAGGGGTTTTTGGATGAGGGAAGAGATGAGGATCTGACTCCATGTTTCAGAAGGCTTGATTAATTATTTTATGATATATATTACATTAAAACTATACTAAAAGAACAGAAGAAAGGATTTCATCAGAAAGTTAGCTTAGAATAGAATAAGAAAGAAAGAATGATAACAAAAACTTCATCTTGGACTCTCTGAGCCAACTGGGCTGTGATTGGCCATTAATTAGAAACAACTAACATAGACTAATCAAAGATCTACTTGTTTCATTCCACAGCAGCAGATAATCAATGTTTACATTTTGTTCTTGAAGCCTCTCAGCTTCTCAGGAGAAAAAATCCTAAAGAAAGGATTTTTCATAAAATATGTCTGTGACGCTGGTCAGCTTCTCAGGAGAAAAAATCCTGAGAATTTTATGAAAGGATTTTTCACAAAAGATGTCTGTGACACACTGAGGGAAAGAGAAGAGCTTCACATGCTGTGTATGACCCTGAGGACATGCAGGGATGCAATTTCAGCTCTTTGTCCTTTCTGGTTCCAGGCTCAGATCTTCCGTCCCTTGAAGTTCAACACCACATCTGTGATCAAAATAGCTGTGGAGCCAGTGAACCCCTCAGAGCTGCCCAAAATGTTGGATGGTCTTCGTAAAGTCAACAAGAGCTACCCCTCACTTACAACCAAGGTACTGCTGGGGGCACCTGCATCAGATCATTTCCAGAAATTCCTTCCAGCCATTCTATTCTGTGATTTCTCTGTGTGTTTGTGTGGCTGTTTCCAGCCAGTTCTGGGGGCAGCCTCTGGGCTGATCTTGAAAATAATCAGGTTTTTTACCACAGGATGTTATATTTGTTGTGGGTCTTTTCATGCTGTTTCAGTTGATCTTATAAATGATGTAGAAATAAAAGAAAATGTAAATCATCCTGCTGTGCCAGGGAAGAGCCCAGCAGCACTTCCTCCTGAACAAGGCTCTGGGAGTTTTCCTTGGGGTGTTCTGACTCTAACCAAGTGGATTTAAGGCTGATTCTTCCTCAGGCTTGAGCAGGAAGGAGCTGTGAGCTGCCAGCTGAATCCCTTTTTTCTCTTCCAGGTGGAAGAATCTGGGGAGCATGTGATCCTGGGCACAGGAGAGCTGTACCTGGACTGTGTGATGCACGACCTGAGGAAGATGTACTCTGAGATTGACATCAAGGTGAGGCTGTCACAGAGGGATTTTCCCACTGGAAACCCTGGACAGGGGTTTGCTCCCCTCTCTCAGAACCTGCCTGAACATACAGCATGGATTTTGTTACATTCCTGTAAAATTTAAAAGCAAAAAGGAGTTGTTAGGGTGCAAAAGGGTCTCTTCCAGCCTGACTGTCACCAGTGGGACTGAGAGTGGCACATTGGCTTGGAGAAGAATTTTCCATATTCCAGCCTTCCCTGTGCTTAGAGCATTGTCTGGCTAGCAATTTATTTATTCCAGACTTGCCTGTGCTTAGAGCATTGCCTGCTCAATTTATTTATTGCCTGGCTAGCATCAAATAAATAAATTGAGCCAGATTTTTGATACCCGCAATTAGATTTAAATTTTCCTGTGTCATTTGAAAGCCTCAGTGCTTCATACACAACCCTGATTAAAACCAGTTAAGCCAGTTTTTTCTTGTAGGTGTTCAAAGGTTTCAAACAGTCATTTTACAAGCAGAAAAGTACTGAAAACTTTACAAACCTTTTGTTCTTTTAGGTGGCTGATCCAGTGGTGACATTCTGTGAGACAGTGGTGGAAACATCCTCCCTGAAGTGCTTTGCTGAGACACCCAACAAGAAGTAAGGGCTGTGGGTGAGCTGGCATGGGAGGGGGCAGGGGGAGGGTCTCTCTCTCCCTCCCCACTGGCTGTTGTCCACCAAATGGCACATTCCTGAGTGAGCAATGTCCCACTGAGCTCCTCAGGGACACACCAGGGTCCCAGGGATGTTCCTGTGCTGTGTAGGAGCTCTGAGAATGAAGGGAACAAAGCCAAATCCACATCCTCCTTTTTCCCTAAGTGTCACACCTTCTCAGCAGTTCTGAGATCCTGGAGCAGGTGCCAAAGTGCTGCCTTCAGTAATTCCCCCAAGAGTGTCATGAGGAAGAGCTGTGTGTTCTGTTATCCATGTGTAGTCTTGGATTTGTTCTCCTGGTGATGCCCTGGAGCCTTGCAGCTGCTCTCATCTCCCTCCTCCAGCCCCTCACAGGGCATGGGATTGGAAAAGGGAGATCTGTGTGCACAGGATGTTCCCATACCTGAATTTTCAGAGAAATCATGATCTGCTGAAGTGGACTCTCCTGTGTTCCCCTGTGGTTTCTGGTTTTGCTTGCCTTCCTCTATTCTGAGACAATCTCACCATGTTTGGCAGCCTTAATTCTGGGAACAGAGAGGTTCCATTCTTCACAGAATCACAGGATGGTTTGGCTTGGAAACAACCTTAAAAACCAAAAAACCATCCAGTTCCAAACCCTCCCGTGGACAGGGACAGCTTCCACCAGACCAGGTTGTTCCAGTCTTAGGTCAGGCTTTGACCTTCTGTGCTGGGGGCAGCTTTCAGGCACTGAGGCAGCATTTGCTGTGTCAGATGCAGCTCCAGGGCCACCTTCCCCAGCCCAAGGGCTCCCTCCTGCAGCCCTGGGTGTGGGACAGGAGGGCTGGAGCCACTCTGTCCCTCAGCTGTCCCTGGGCTGTGTTCACAGGGACACAGAGGATGCAGGTGGCTTCATCAGCCCTGCTGGATCCAAGCTGGGTGCAGTGAGAGAATCACAGAATTGTGGAGTTGTTAAGGTTGGAAAAGACCCTCAATGAAGTCCAGCTGTCAACCCAGCACCACCATCATGTTCACCACTAAACCATCCATACATCCATGTGGTTTTTGCACAGTTCCAGAGATGATGCCTCCACATTGCCCTGGGCAGCTGTGCCAGGCCTTTTCTGTGTAAAATTTTCCCTGATATCTCACCTAAACCTCCTCTGGCTCAGCTTGAGGCTTCTTCCTCTCACTCTATCCTTTGTCCCCTGGGAGCCACCCCTGGCTGTCCCCTCCTGTCAGGGAATTGTGGGGAGCCAGAAGGTGCCCCTTGAGCCTCCTTTCTCCATCCAGGTTGATTCTCCCAGCTCTGTTCCCTTCTCTGGACACATCCCAGCCCCTCCAGGGCTGCCAGGCTTCCCAGTTAGCCCCATTTCCATCACTGTGGTCTTTCCTCAGGAACAAGATCACAATGATTGCTGAGCCCCTGGAGAAGGGACTGGCAGAGGACATTGAGAATGAAGTGGTGCAGATAACATGGAACAGGTATGAGCAATCTGGGGGGGCAGGAGTGCAGCTGGAAGTAAATAACTGGGGGAAAAGGGAATGCTGGAACCTGCAAGGAGCACAGGATCAGGCAGAGATCCTGGCTTGGTTTTCCTGCCAGCCACTCTGTGGGCATCTCTGACTGAGACTTTTGTGCCTGAAGGGAACAGGATTGTAAATACATCATGAGTTCAGGTCAGATTCTTGTTTCCTAAAGCTTCTTCCCTTTCTCTTTTATCAGAAAGAAGCTGGGTGAATTCTTCCAGACCAAATACGACTGGGATTTGCTGGCTGCCCGTTCCATCTGGGCCTTTGGGCCTGATGCCACTGGCCCAAACATCCTGGTTGATGACACACTGCCCTCAGAGGTGAGGAGTGGGGGCCACTCTTCAGTGAGACCTTTGTCCTGTGCTCCCAGAACTTTCAGCCAGGCCCTGGTGCCTTTGGGGTTATCATTGTTTGCCTCAGACCTGCTGCACTTTCCCCACAATGATCCTACACTGGTTACCAGATCACCTGTTATTTTTCAGGTGTTGCTGTTTGAGCCAAAAGGCAAAAAAACCCCTCTTTTTATTTTTAGACCTTGCCTTTCAGAATCCCCTAAAATGTGGGCTCTTAATTTCTAGTGCTGTAGAAATTACATTGTGCTGATGCTCTTGGGCTGTGAGAGGGAGTGAGTGGACATGGGGGCACAGGGGAACATTGCTGTTGGTTTGGAACTGGGTGATACTGGGTGTGATGAGGTGTGGTGTCTGAAGCTGTCTGTCCATCTGTCTGTCTGTCTGTGTGTCTGTGTGTCTCTAGGTGGACAAGTCTCTGCTGGGTTCAGTGAAGGACAGCATCGTGCAGGGCTTCCAGTGGGGGACCAGGGAAGGGCCTCTCTGTGATGAATGTAAGTGAGACCTGTGTGGAAAATGAAACAATGAGAAATTGCTTAAATTCTTCCATTTTTAAGCATTTAGGTGCTCCAGGCTGAGCAGGCTTTGGTGGAAGGTGTCCCTGCCCATGGCAAGGAGTTGGGCTGGATCAGCTTTAAGGCTCCACTCCATGACTCTGTGATATGCAGGGTTATGAAGTGGTGGTGCTGGAATTAAATTTAGGAGAATTGCTGGGTGTTTGGGCATGTGGGGATGTGGTTGGTGCTGGCAGAGGATGTCCCCTGAGGTCACTGGCTGTCATTTCTCCCTCTGCAGTGATCCGCAACGTGAAGTTCAAGATCCTGGACGCAGTGATTGCTCAGGAGCCCTTGCACAGGGGTGGAGGGCAGATCATCCCCACGGCCCGCAGGGTGGTGTACTCTGCCTTCCTCATGGTGAGGGCCTGCCTGGGCTGGGCTGGTCCCCACAGCCCTGCCTGGGGCTCTGGGTGCGCTCTGAGTCACTGCCCATCAGTGTCTGCAGCAGAGTCCTGCATTGCAGCCTGGTGTGCATCTGCTCGCCCTCCCCTTGCTGCTGCTGCTGGGCTTGCTGGGAAGGGTGGGCACGGGGAGAGGGAGGCGTGTGACTGATGGCCAGAGGGAGAAAAGGTCCTTGCAGTGTTTGTGCTGTTGCTTTGGGCAGCCATGGGACAGCAGGACCCCTGTAACCTCACCAAGCACTGAGTTTGACTGTGCTGTTGAGCTGGGAGAGACTCAGTGGCTCATGTCCTTGTCCCCTCACAGGCCACCCCTCGTCTGATGGAGCCCTACTACTTTGTGGAGGTGCAGGCTCCTGCTGACTGTGTGTCTGCTGTGTACACCGTGCTGGCCCGGCGCAGGTGAGCTGCTCCTGCTGCCAGCACTGGGGGCTTGCAGGGCAGCAGAACTGGGGTCTGGGCTCTTGGAGAATTCCTGCACTGCTGCAGAAGGTGAAGCTGTTGAGATTTGGGCTCTTGGAGAGCTCCTGCCACTGCTGCAGAGGGTGAAGTCTGCAGAGAGTGAAGCTGTTGGGATCTGGGCTCTTGGAGAACTCCTGCCACTGCTGCAGAGGGTGAAATCTCTGTGAAGTGACATTTGGAAGCTTCCTGACTGATCCTGGCCCTGAGCAGTGTGGGCAGGGAGGTTGAGGATCACACACAGCCTTTGGGTTGTGCCTGGTTCTTGCTGAGTGTCAGGAGAATGTGCACAGCTCTGTGCTCAGCCCTAGGGCACAGGAAGGGCTTGGACCTCCTTCAATGACTCCAGACAAGATGCTCAGGGGGCTGGAGCAACTAAAAACAGGTTGGGAATTTTAGGGTGGTTTAATCTGGAGAAGAAAAGGCTGCAGGAAAACCTTAGAGCCCCTTTTAATGCCTAAAGGAGCACCAAGAGAGCTGGAAAAGGGCCTGGAGTGCCAGGGTGTCAGCACAGTGAGTCCCCAGCTGGGTAATGATTGGCACAGATCCATAAAAGCCTGATCATTTTCTTTATTAAGAAACCCATTGCTTTTTTATACCCCAGTTCACTACAGGTGAACCTGGTGATAAAAAAGCAATGAGTTTCTTATAGCCAGGTTTAAAAAATATAAATTAGTCCTTGACTTAAAACACCATCACCAGGCTAATTAAGAAACCACCCTTTGGTAAACAAATCTCCATAACACATTCCACACATTCACTATAGCAAATGCAGCAAGTTAAGAATTGTTTCTCATTCTTTTCTCTGATCTTCTCAAGCCTTTCCCAGAATGGTGCCTGGGGAACTTGTCTGGTTTTCTCTGCTGCCACACCAGGACAAGGGGGAATGGCTTCCCACTGCCAAAGAACAGGGTTAGATGGGATATTGGGAAGAAATTCTTGGCTGTGAGGGTGGAGATGCCCTGCACAGGTTGCTCAGAGCAGCTGTGGCTGCCCCATCCCTGGAAATGTCCAAGGCCAGGTTGGATTCCACCTGGGATAGTGGAAGGTGTCCCTGCCATGGTATAAGGGGTGGAACTGTGTGGGGTTTGAGGTCCCTTCCATGACTCTGTGACACATTAATGCTGATCCTTTGACACTTTTGCAGAGGCCACGTCACCCAGGATGCTCCAATCCCAGGCTCTCCCCTGTACACCATCAAAGCCTTCATCCCAGCCATTGATTCCTTTGGCTTTGAGACAGACTTGAGGACCCACACACAGGGCCAAGCCTTCTCCCTGTCTGTCTTCCACCACTGGCAGGTGAGTCCATGCCCTGGGGAGGTGGGGAAGAGGGACAGGCAGGACCAGGCTCCAACAGAGCAGGAAAGCTCTGGAGAGCATCCTCAGAGGATCCTGCTGAGGTTTGTGCACCAGCTGTTCTGTGTCTGCCAGGCTTTGTTCCAAGTCCCATCACTCCCAGTCCCAGTGAGCTGCTGGTTGAATGTCAGGGTCCTGCAGTGCCTGGGGAGAGGACACCCCCCTTGGGAGGAGGGAACATGTTTGGGTCCAGTTCATGCAGCAGAAATCTTGCATTGAGGCTCAGACTCACTGACCCGCCATAGAAAGTTTGATTTGTGTCTCACACAGATGGTGTTTTAAACCTGTAGGAAGCAAAGTTTGGGACAAAATGCTGTTCTCTGGCCACTTGTGTGTCTGGGGCAGATCAGGTCCTGGGAGGTGCACATTGCTTTGGGGTGCAGCTCCATGAGAGCTGCCTAAAGGTTGGTGTGTCAAAGCCTAAGGCTGAGCTCTGAAACAATTAGCATGCCTGCTTTGTGAAGGGGGTTGTGCTGAGCAGGATTTGCATGGATTGCTCTGTTAGGAGGTGGTGTGAGGTCCTGCAAGGGGGAGGGACATGTCCTTGTCTTGAGTTCTCAGCACTGTGTTATTCACTTCTCACTTCTCAGCAGTGACATGGGTTTGTGTGCCAGCTGGGGTGCTGGGGTGTCTGTGGTGAGACAGAGTAGGGATCCATCCTGAATTAGGTGGAGTGTCTGACAATGGTGAAAAGTCTGTGAGGCCAAAGCTGAAGGAAAAACTCGCATGCTGAGACAGCAAGGAGACAGAGAAAGAAAAACAGAAAAGACCACGAGGTCAATTTGCCCCGACATAGAAATTCCTTTGATAAAGAAGAACTGGTGCTAAGTGTCATGTGAGATGAATATGCATGAACTTATTGCGAAACTGTATGCATATGCATTTAGAAGGGGGATAAAAGGAGGTCTGAAATTTTCAAGGGTACACATGCCTTTTGAAGAGAATTTTTCTCCGTGTGCGTCCAGCGCCGTAAATAAACATACCGAGCTTTACAACTTTATTATAAAGTTGTGAGGTTTCTTCTTTTCTCCGCAAAACAGTGGGACCCAGGGATGTTTCTCCAGGAGGCTGAAGCAGCCCCAGCATCCCTCTCACCCCCTGGCCCTGTGTTTCAGATCGTGCCTGGGGACCCCTTGGACAAGAGCATCGTCATCAGGCCGCTGGAGCCGCAGCCAGCCCCACACCTGGCCAGGGAGTTCATGATCAAGACCAGGCGTAGGAAGGTGTGTCTGGGCCACATCCCTGTGCTGTCCTGTGCCTCTGTCCCAGCAGGGAACAAATCCCGTGCTCTGCCTCTGTCCCAGCAGCTGAGCTGTTGCTGTGCTGTCCCTTGGCTGTGCCACATCCCCTCTGTGTTCCCAGAGTGCTCTTTGTGCCCCAGGACCTCTCCCGTGCTGCCCATCAGAGCCTGCCAGTCCAAAATCAGTGACTCCAGTCCAAAACAGGATCCTGTGGTCTCTGCTGTGCCCTGCTCCCTCCCCAGCCCCTCTGAGCCCTCAGTGTAGCCCCCTTGTCCAGCAGAAACAGCAGAACTGCTTCCTGTGCTGGTTTAGCTGGACTGAGGGGCTGCAGAGGGAATCAAGCTCTCCTGTGGGGAGCAGTGAGCTGGCAGATGTTCTCAGCAGCAGAAACGACACTTGCAGGTTCCTGAGGAATGTTAGATGCCTTCAAGCTGCAGAGAAGCATCTCATGCCTTTTTTGGAGCCTGAAAATTTATTTTACAAGGTCTCTTCAGTGGGCTCTCTGTGTGGGGAATAACCCTGGTTTGTGTTACCTGCAGGGCCTGACTGAGGAGCCCTCAGTGGCCTGGTGAGCCCCCTTGTCCAGCAGAAACAGCAGAACTGCTTTCTGTGCTGGTTTAGTGAGCTGGTTTCTGTGCTGGTTTAGTGAGCTGGTTTCTGTGCTGGTTTAGCTGGACTGAGGGGCTGCAGAGGGAATCAAGCTCTCCTGTGAGGAGCAGTGAGCTGGCTCAGCATCAGAAACCACATTTGCAGGTTCCTGAAGAGTGTTAGATGCCTTCAAGCTGCACCTCATGCCTTTTTTGGAGCCTGAAAATTTATTTTACAAGGTCTGGGCAGTGGCTGTGTGGGGAATAACCCTGGTTTTGTGTTACCTGCAGGGCCTCAGTGAGGATGTGAGCATCAGCAAGTTCTTTGATGACCCCATGTTGCTGGAGCTGGCCAAGCAGGACGTCGTTCTCAACTACCCCATGTAACCCTGCTGCCCTGGCATGGGAGCTCTGACCCGAGCCCTGGTGGCACCTGCTGGTCCCTCCCCATCCCTGCTTGCCCAGCCTGGCTCCTGGAGGCTCAGGGCAGGCACGGAGCTGCTCCTCATGGCTGGAGGAGTCTCCATGGACCAATTGTGAGCAGCCCAGAGCCAGAGCATTTTGTATTCTTGGTCTGCAGTTGCCTCCAGGGAGGTTTTTTTCCTTTTGGATGTGTTCCTCCAGCTCACAGAGCTGAGCAGTGTCAGTGTGGATTGCTGAGGACTGGGCCTCAACTGTGTCAAGCATTTCAGGCAGCTGAGAAAAAAAGGGGGGGATTGGGGGAGAAATGTGGCTTTGACCTTTCTGTACCCCTTTTTTTGAACCCTTTAAAATGTTTAGTACAAAGTTCCAGGCTGGACTTGGTCTGATTGTGCCCTGACATGGCAGGGCTGGGGGAGGCTCTGCTTTCCCAGTGCTTCCAGTACACACTCAGGATTTCTCCCACCCTCAGCACTGGGCCACTCCCAAGGACTCCCTGTCTCCCAGCTATCCCACTCCTGCCTGTGCCAGTGAATGGACCAGCCACCCCTATTTTTTTTTTTCATTTTTCCCTCAATCTTGCTGAGTTTTCAGGGATTTTTCAGCTGCTCATCCTCTGAGAGGTTTTTGCTGCTCCCTCTCCACTCCCCTGCTCTGTCTCTCTCTGAACTGTGCCCCAGTTCTGTCCCAAGCGTGTGCTGTGAAAGCAGGGCTGATTTATGGGGATGAATGTCTGCTGGGGACATTCCTGCCCTCCCTGTCCCCTGGCTGCCCCCACCTTGTGCTGGCCTGGCCCTGCCCTGGTGCTGCTGTGCTAAATTTGGCCCTCATTCATCACAGCAACACCCCTGGGAACGTGTCCCAGAGCATCCCTGTGCTCAGAGGGGCTTGAGATGGCCCTGGGGCAGCAGGACAAGCTGAGGACAGCCTCCTCCCTCCTCCCAAAACCTGCCAGCTGCTGGTGGAAACTGGGAGGCACTGGGCTGCCATGAGCACGGGATAGGAAACATCCATGGGCCAGCACATCCAGCCCTCCCAGCAGGTGCTGGGTTTCTGGAAAATGCATGTTTTGGGGGATAATTCAGGCCAGAGGAGCATCAAAAGCAGGGAGGGGAAGGATTTCCTGTCAGCCACATCAGCATCACCCCCCAGCTGTGCTGCTGCCCCACCCCATGGCAGCAGGAGGGCTCTGGCCTTATCAGCAGGCTCAGCTGTTCCAGGGATGCAATCCTGCTTCTCCAGCCCTGTCACCAGGCTCAGCCTTTCCTGCTGGCAGTGCCCCTCACCTCCCACATCTGCCCTGGCACCACTGATGGTGTGTCCTCCCTCTGTCCTGGGGGAAAGTGGGGCTCAATCCTTGGTGCAAGCAGAATTCAACCCTGGCACCCCCGTGGGTGTGACAGTGCTCACAGGGCTCTGAGGATAAGGGAAGAGATGAGGATCTGACTCCATGTTTCAGGCTTGATTTATTATTTTATGATATATATTACATTAAAACTATACTAACAGAATCGAAGAAAGGATTTAATCAGAAGACTGGCTAAGAATAGAAAAAGAAAGAAAGAATGATAATGAAGGTTTGTGTCTCAGAATCCAAGCCAGCTGACTGTGATTGGCCATTAATTAGAAATAACCACAAATAACCACAAGAGACCAATCCCAGATGCACCTGTTGCATTCCACAGCAGCAGATAACCATTGTTTACATTTTGTTCCTGAGGCTTTTCAGCTTCTCAGGAGAAAAAAATCCCAAGGAAAGGATTTTTCATAAAAGGTGTCTGTGACACATGGCCATGCTGGGGGTGCTTGTCACCTCCCAGTGCAGCCCAGCACCAAACTGGGCCCCCAGAGACCAGGCCAGGCATCTCCTGGAGCAAACCCTGGGATGCTGCAGCAGGATCAGGAACCAGGGCTTGGGGGTGGCCCTGCCTCTGGGGATCTCATCCCAGGGTGTAAGAGTTGGGGGTAGGATGGTTGGGATGGACGGAGATGAGAGATCTCTGCAGCCAGGTTGTGGAATTTGGGGTTTATTGCAAAGGGCCTGGGTGCAGGGCCCTGCTGGGAGCTGCAGCCACAGCTCAGAGCAGGCTGAGAGAAGAGAGGGGGAGAGAGGATGAGAGGGTGAGAGAGTAAAAGGGGTGAGAGAGCGAGGTTCCCATTACAATACAATAAATCTTCTTCTGTGTTGAATATTCTAATTCTCACCAATCTAGTACAAGATACAAACCCTATAGCATTTCCATACAGCCTATAAGAATCATTACATTACCATCTTGTTACATTTTAAACCCTAAAAACTCCTCTTTGGGCCCCTTCTGCCAAGCTGTAGGGTCTGCTCTGACCCTTGGGCCTGTCTGCAAGCAGAGGGTGTTGTTCCATCCAAAGGGGATCACCTTCAGCAGCCACACCATTGTTTTCCAAACATGCCCCCACCCTCAGCAGGGCCATCAGCACTGAGTGACCCTGTGCTGACCCCCCAGTTGTTCCATTTATCCCCATCCCCAGGGATTTGGGAGGTCCCACAGGATCTGTTACCTTGAGCAGCCTCGTGGGATGAGCCCCCACCCTGTGCCATGTCCCTGTCTCCATCCTGCTCCTGGGGACCCTGGCTGCAGTCCTGCTTCTACTGTCCCCAGTGCCTCCACCCTGGTCCTGGTGTCCCTGTCCACAGCCCCATTCCTACTGTCCCCTGCTCCCTGTGTCCTTGTCCTGCTCCTGATTCCCAGCTCTGCTTTGGTGTCCCTGTCTCCATCCTACCCTGGTTCCTGTCCTGCTTCTCCATGTCCCTGTCCCCACCCTGCTCCTGCTCTCTCCATCTTGTTCCCATTGTCCCCACCACCCATTCTGCTCCCAGTGCCTCCAAAATTTTCCTACTCCCCATATCCCAGTATCCTTGTCCCTTTCTTGATCCCATTGCCCCCATCCTGCCCCTGTTGTTCATCCTGTTTACACTGTCCCCATCATTGTCCTGCTCCCTGTGTCCTTGACCTCATCCTGCTTGCAGTGCCCGTGTCCCTGTCCTGCTTCTGATTTCCCAATCCCTCCCTTCTCCCTTAACTGCTCCCAACGTCCTTGGTTTCCTCCCTGCTCCTGATGTCCCCATCCTGCTCCTGGTGTCCTGGTCCCTGTCCCAGACCTCCACCCTGCTCTTGGTGTCCCTTGTCCCCATCCTGTCCCTGTCCCCATGCTGTTCCTGATGCCCTCATTCCCATTCTGCTCCAGATGCCCCCATCCCCACACCTGTCCCAGTGTCCCCACCCTGCTCCTGCTGTCCCTGTCCCCAGCCCTGCTCCCAGTGTTCCCATTCTTGTCCTGCTCTCCATGTCCCTGTCCCAGTCCTGCTTCCTGTGTCCCCATTCCCCTTCTGCTCCTGATGTCCCAGGCCCTGTCCTCATCCTATTCTTGCTTTCCCCATCCCCATCTTGCTCTCAGTGTCCCCATTCCACTCTGTTCCTTTCCCTATCCTGCTCCCAATGTCCCTGTCCCCACCCTGTTTATAGTGTCCTTGTCCACAGCCCTGCTCCAGTGTTCCTCCCTATTCCTGTCCTGCTTCCCATGTTCTGTCCTGCTGTGTGTCCTTGTCCCTATTCCCCTGCTGTGTCCCCATCCTGACCCCACTTTGTGTCCTTGTCCCCGTACATCCATCCTGACCCCAGTCCCGTGTCATTGTCCCTGTCCCCTGCTGTGTCCCCATTCTGACCCCACTCCGTGTCGTGTCCTTGTCCCTATATCCCTCTCCTGACCCCAGTCCCGTGTCATTGATCCTGTTTTCTGCTGTGTCCCTGTCCTGTATCCTTATCTCTGTCCCCCATCCTGACCTCAGTCCCACGTCCTTGTCCCTGTTCCCCGCTGTGTCCCAGTCCCGTGTCCTTGTCCCTGTACCTTATCCTGGCCCCAGTGTCCTTGTCCTTGTCCCCAGTCCTGTGTCCCTGTCTCTGTCCTCGCTGAGTCCCTGTCTCCAATGTGTCCCCGTCTCCAGTCCTGTGTCCTTGTCCCTGTCCCCAGTCCCGTGTCCTTGTCCCTGTACCCTCTCCTGGCCCCATGTCCTTGTCATCAGTCCTCTGTCCTGTGTCCCTGTGCACTGTCCCTGTCCCAGACCCATGTCCCAGTCTCCTGTTCCTGTCCAGTCCTGTGTCTCTGTCCCTGCTGTGTCCCTGTCCCGTGTCCTTGTCTCCGGTCCCCTGTCCCTGCTCTGTCCCTGTCCCTATCCCTGTCCCTCTGTCCTTCTGTCCCTCTCCCTATTCCTGTGTCCCCTGTCCCTATCCCTGTCCCCTGTCCCTGTG